GTGTGTCTACTGCAAATCGTGTCATGTGAAGCACTTTGGTCCGACAGGAGTTGGGTTATGGTGGAGGAGCCGGTGCCTTAGCATGGAGGGTGGCACCAAGCAACCACAGAAAACGTGAGTCTGTGGTTATTGTCTGTGCAATAACAGACACATATATACCTTTATTTATATATAGCCCGGGTCCAAATTAACTCGTGAACTCTTTTATTTGTTTGACATCTTGTACTGTTTGACAATTTTGTATACATTGTACCTGGACAAATTAGCTTTCAGACAATATATATCTTCATGGTAATAGATTGGAATCTGAATATAGTTTAACTATGTATTCCCATGCACTGCACATTGTAAAGTAAAACCCAGCGTGCATACCAAAGCTAGAGTAACTATATAAACAAAACACTGAGTTAACAGTTTTCTCATTTTTGGTTTATATAAGTTCCATTATACAGGAGTCTGTTTACTCAGTCCATCTTAGCAGGGTTTGTTCCAGGGTTAGAAGATATTCATACACTGTGTCCTACAGATATTTTTTGAGTTACTGTTGTATAAATATGACATACCGGTACCAGTCTACTCGGTATTGGTAATTACAAATAAGAACATGCGAGTGAGCCATAATATCGTTGACATAGCTTTGTGTAGCTTTAGTTACAACCTTCCTGTGTATGTTAAAGATTGATAATATATTTCATGATAGGTGGAGTGGAGGTTCCGGAGGATCCACGGGTGGTAGTTTTGGGGGAGGTGATAGATGTCCACGATGTGGTAAAGCAGTGTATATGGCTGAAAAAATCATTGGTGCTGGAGAGGTTGGTAATAACACCATTATTTGAACAAAATTGCAATACTAATACACCACCAAATTACAAATATACAAAATAAACTACCGGTACAAGTTTGTATACTTTTGTATTCATGAAAAAAAAAATAGCATAATTTGAGCAGTTTCTGGTTTGAGTTAATGAATTGTTCATAGTAAATGTGCCACTGACATTTCGTTTGATACAGGTCCACTGTAACATAGATACAGTGTGCAAAATGCATTGTTTATTTACATGTACTAAAAATTCACACGTACACTGTGCACAGACTAGCATTTTAACTACCACATAGAGTGAAATGGCATTTCAGCAGCATTTTAACTCAGTAACTCTCTTACAACTGTAACTGCTTATCTGTTGTAATCTCATAACTATTAAAGTATTTTATTTTCACAGTCTTGGCATAAAGTTTGTTTTACCTGTGCCATATGTGGGAAGAGTTTGGATTCAACTACGTGCACCGACAGAGAAGGTGAAGTTTTCTGTAAAGGTAAATTTCATTCACTTAGAATATTTTATTTATTAGACTCACTATTACAGTTGCTACAGTGAATATCATTCTGCTAGATTACTAGACTTTGTAAATAATCATCGTTGCAAATTCAATTATGCCAACACTAATAACAATGTCTACTAGTAGTTACGTAATATAGTATAGTGAACCCAGTGAAAAGGATACTTTCATTTTTTGTGTATTACATGCCTGTTAATATGACCTTCCAAATGATGTATATTTTTTTCTGCTATAATATTCATAGTTTTATATTGATAATATTACTAGTATTTTTCCCCCTTCAGCTTGCTATGGTAAAGAGTTCGGCCCTAAAGGAGTTGGATTTGGTCAGGGTGCAGGTTCCTTATCTCATGCTAATTAAACATGTGAATGTCACCTGATGGGTCACCTGACTTTAAAGCATTCTATCCAATCTGTGCATTGGAAACATTATAAGTAGTTGTATATGTAGTTCAATTGCAGTAAGCAACTAAACCATTCTGTCTTTCATTACACTGTGTAGAAGAATGAAGATGTAATTCTTTGTTCCAACATAGTGGATGGTGTGGGTGCTCTTCTATAGTTAAGGTATACAGGTATACAAGTATGTGTCGTCATCTAGTATGGTGTTGTTTTTGAGAACCTGAAATTGTGTATTTTTAAGAAAAATAAAGATAAAATGAAAACTTACACATGGCACCTCACTACCAGAGGTGAGAAATACCAACTCCCATCAGCATTTAACTTTCTGAAGTAAACACATATTTATATCTTTACAATAATGTTGTCACCACAGATGACACTTGTTATTGAATTGTTTTACAGTATTTTATTTCCAAGATCATGACCAATTCTCTGAATATAACACTACACATCATCCAATCATGTGATTGGTCTTGTATCTATTTACAATATTTTCACCATTGACATTGTTCTGCATAATTAAGTGCCTGTACCTGATTGAGTATTTAATATTTTTAGAATTGTACAATCTGACTCATTTAGAGTCTGGGGGGGGGGGGTGGTTACTTTATAATTAGCTGAATGAATTGAATGAAATTAAAATGAATTTTTCATCATTGTTTTAACTGTATCATTATTTCTGTTCAATTACTTTAAATAACAATTTCCAAATTTATTATTCTCTTTTACTAAACTAGACTAAACACAGGATATCGGATATTTTTTTGTCAAAAACAAAGTTGCAGTTTGTACATTTCATTTATACAAGTTTGTATATTATAACAATTCCTAGTTTATGTTGTATATGAATATTGAATATTAAGTGGCTGAAGTGCCCTCTACAGTTCTCCTTATACAAAGAAATGTAATTATTTTATTCCATCTCTATTTTACATTCCACACAAACTAATCTTTCCTCCAGTAAGTTGTCTCTGCATTTAGAAACTAGTGTTAAATCTTTATATTTAATTCTATGAAATATTTTTTGGTAATGTGAATAGCCTGGAAGGGTTGTTTCTGCATAGTATACTTTGTAATTTGGAAAATTTTAATTTAATTTGATTTATGATTCTACTATTTTCTGGTGGTGGTACAGATTGTAGTTATAAATAAAATTATGAAATCAATAAATACATTTGTGTCAGTGTTAAACATTGCAAAGGTGCGGTTCCCCTGAAAGGGAGTTCATGACAAATTCAAATATTGCGTTACTAAGCTGATGTGCAGTGCATTACAGAAATTATTATTACACATGCTGTGTATAGCCTTTTGCTCGACAAAATAATGATTTTTTAATTTCATCACCAGGAATAGTGAGTTGTCTTTGAATGTTTTTAATTGATTTCCAAGGATTTTTTTCAGCTGACCCCATTGGGCAGCATAGTCTTTTATAAGACACAAGGTTTTCAAAATTTGTAATATTAGAAATAAGTTTCTTCTGTATTTTCATGGCATTACACATAATTATGAAAGTTATAAATGAATGACATATAATCATTTTTCATAACCAGGTCCCATGATGCTATCAGGTTATTTTGTGTGTATGACAAAGTATGGATGGTGTTAGCAAACTTGAGGGGGGGGGGGGACTCGCATATTTTTCAATGCTTTACAATCATTATTTACCCGTAGGTTGAATTTTTATTTTTCTGGATATCCTCATGTACGATAACCACGATGCTATCACCTGTTGTTTATCAGACATAAAGCAATAACTATTTTAACAACACTGAGTTCAGGTGATTTTAATATGTCATTCTCTGAAAATTGAAAACGTTCATTCTCAACACTGGGTAACTCGAACCAAATTCAATTACTGGATTTAAAACAACATAAACAATGACATCGCACAATTTCTTTGTGAAATTGACAGCTTCCTCAAAGATTTGTTTTAAACCAGAACACATTTTGGCCACAGATCAAACTGCACCATTCAGCAACACAGTATCAATCTGCAAAAACTTATGGTTGGGGTTTCAATTGCTGTCGCCTTGCAAAAATATTAATATTAATGTTCCTAGTGATGCACATGTATACAAAGAATTACTTAAAAATTTTGGCCATTGTAAACAATTTTTTTATAAAATGTCTTAAGTATACCTAAAATAGGATTGTTTTTACTATGACTACTTTCAAATCATTGACAATTTCTCTGAATGGATAGGTGCCTACAAAGAACTACAATACTGGCTCAGCTTTTCTAGGGCATCTGTGAGATGTGCTATAATTATCTCGGGTGAGACCAAGGCTAGAATTTATATGCAAATGTACATAGGTAGCAGTCTCATAATTACACGTCTCTGGTGCAGAAAATTCATCAGGTATAAACATGTATTTCGGGTTTGATTTCACATACATAGCTGTACATACATTTACTATTTCTCCACAGACAATGAACTAGATGTATACTTTAATATTATTGTCGGGAAAACTAGTTTTCCTAATATAAACCTTTTCAAAAATAAATGTATTTATAAACTTGACTATTAACTCGACGTATTGAGGATATTAAAAATGACATCCCTACATTTCAGAATAAAATTGGAAATACCGGTAGATGTTCGGCTGGTCCGTAGAGGGCGCTTCCGGTAGGTGAATCGTTCAATCCGTTTCCAACACAAAAAATTAATTGCGTGATTGGAAAATGTTATCGTTATACAACATACTGTGTTTTTTCGGGTGTTCTGGGGATCATAAATGTCAACATTATAACTGAAACATCATAGATTTGATTGGACTGAAAAATATGGCTTAGTGACTTTGTCACGACTACACTCAAGGAAAACGGCGGGTACATTACAAGGCAACCAATCCCCACCCGGATGCTAGCAAAAAAATGCAATATTGATTTCACCATGGCTCAAAGTTTTCACATACGTGTTTTTCTGTATGATTTGACATCACAGTCTCGATAGTTTGCGGCGAAGGCGATGTATTGCAACAAAATACAGCGATGACCAGACAATATAGAATGTAATTTCTATAATTGTTGTGCGAAGCCTACTCGTATATCGTTTTCTTCCACCTTGCTTTCAAATTACGCCCTCTATCAATAATGTTTCCAGTAACGAAAATCGAAAGATATTTATGCGCGACAAAGTTTCAAGCTAACTTAAAAAACTAAATTATATCTAACTCTTTACATCACATAACGCTCCCATAGTTTTAGGCACAGTGCCTTTGTGTATAGGAACCGGGATTTTCGAATAAAAATTCCTCTTTGAGCGAACGTGATTGGAAATATTCGGACGCCGATTTGTTTATTATTTTATTTGTTCCACCATGAACAATTGTCATTATTATTTATTTCAGACAAATAGGTCCATATCTAAAAAAATAATAATAAATAAATAGTAGAATGACTAAAAAATATAAACAGGAAACAATAGTTCGCTTGCTATTACGTAATTGCACATAACATCTCAATAAACTAGTAAATATACTGTTGTTGGACGAGACAAGCACGCTCTCTAAATTTATATGCAATATTTCTGTAAGTTTCATAAAATGATTTGACACGGTTAACAACAAACATAGATCGGACACTGTGGTCATATGAAGAACCAACAATCTAGTACGGAAAAAAAAAACTTCAAAAAAGTCGGTTTGTTTAAAAAAAAAACACACTACAACTGTGAACAGTAAATATTATAACAATACGTTATAATCATCATAGCTGCACTCGACAAATGTCCTAAGAAGTAGGTTAGCTCAAAAAAAACAAAAAACAAAAAAAAAAAAACAAGCGCACACGTGGCTCTATGGCCCAACAATTTTGTTTCGTTAGCGTGGCGAAAGTTGGTTAGCGTGGGGGAAAAACAGAGGTGTTAATCCACAAAAATACATTGTCTTTTCCTGTTTGTGATTGGTCCTAGCAACGTTTGGGGGATCGTGACGCAGCTCCGTCTGTGAGAATACGTAACCTGCGAGACAAAATCCATGTTCTGGCCCATCAGGCTAACCGGAGGCAGAATGTTCAGTTTAATCTTGGATGGAAAGTGCATACACTTCGTTTCCAACACGTTATAGAGCATATCATGATCAGTAGCAAATAATTCACAAGTTTTCGTAGCCTTTTTATAGAGGGCGCTAGTAAACACATGTCACCCGCATAACTGAAATTATTAAAAAAAAACTTTGTTGCCAACAAGACAGCCACATGGAAGATTATTTACCTTCACAATTAGGTCATATATATACACATTGAACAGGGAAGGCGACACCATATTGTCTAACACCATTGGGTACACTGAAAGAAAGGGAAATAGAACTCCCCCTGGCCCCATCTCACGCAGTTTATTTGATTTTCATACCAGTTGATACGAAACCGAATAATGTAACCGAATACATTAAACATAATACAAGTACAAAATTCAGAGCAAAAAATCATGGCGAGGAACATGATACATAGCTTGATTTGGGCCAATGAAACATTTTGTCTAATCATTATAATATGAAATTGTTCTCAAAGCATTAGCGTAGGTCTCGCCATGACAAATATATACCATACCAAAAGCACTGCGATCAAGATGTTCTACAATCGAATATGTACACTTCAGATGAATATTTGATTTATAACATGTTGTATTTGGTAGAGTTTGGAAGACATTCTGCATTAAAGCAGAATTTCACGTGCGGTTGTATGAAGTTGATTTGAGATACGTACGAGTTGAATCGTCGTCATGTTATAGTTTACGACATATAAAATAAGTGGCCACGATTTGTACCACAGCTGTCAAGGTTTTTTGTAAGTAAGCTATAATTACAACTAAATACCTGTAGTAAATCGTTGTGGGCTTTCTTTAGATGTCGTTACGTAAACTTGAAATTTTCCCGAAATCTGATAGAACTTTTTTCTTTTTCTTTTTTTTTGTGAGTCAATGGTTAATCTATCGAAATAATTTTCTGGGAACATTTTTGAAAAAAAAAGTTACAGTTTATTTGTTTACATAAACTGAAAGAAACGCCTATATTTTTGTACTATTTTTGTTTTGCAGTTTCTTTTGCGTAAAAATAGAGAAAGTGTCATAAAAGAACGTAATGCCAAGTTGCCAACTCGGTTGTGACTATTTTGTAAACGTTGTAATGTATTGAACGTACGTAGATGGCGCCCTATAGGAGCAGACATTTTACGTAAACTTAGGTAGGTAGTAGTCGTAGTAGTCTTAATTCATTTTGTTAGAGGGCCCTTCATACCCAGAAGTCCAAGCAAAGCAAACAAGATGGCGGAATACGGCGAAGAGGCGAGTTGCAACCACACGATTTTGCCCGGACATGTAAGTAATTTGCCTTATTAACTTATTTTCACGGGACAAATACGAAATATAGCATCTATCGACTGCGTCTTTATTATTTCCAATAATATGCCTTGGGATTGCACGGGGTCACGATAGCGGCGATGACAATAAAATTATCAACTAATTAATTTTGTTGTTGTCCATTTTTAAATCGCTTGTAGAAATAGTGCGGTCAAGTCTCGCGTCAAAAATTCGCTAGTGTCACAATGTGAAAACGTTGTGTTTGTATTGTTCTTAGCTTGTAAATCATGTATTTTGGGGAAAATCGGTTGATGCACACATGTTCAACTTTAGTCTTCGACCACAATCTAGTTTTACACATTCACTATATTTGGAAATGTCTGGGGATTCGGGTCATTTTGGGTCCGGGAAAAGTCTTGGGCTCCGTCTGTCAGTGTACACTGCAGCTTCGGTTTACATGCTGGACCCTAACGCCGCGGTCGACCCTATTGGTAAAATGGTTAAAAATAGAGAGACTGTGTATTTCGGTACGCCGACCCGTACAAGATCCACAGGCGCTCGGAACGTTTCCTGGATAATAAAAAATGACCTAAAGTGGGATCGGCATAGTTATAGTCAGTCGCCGGTAAATTTCCCTACTACACTGTAACCTCAATATAATGAACACCGTTATAATGAATTTCCTGATATAATGAACACATAGTGTGTCTCCCGCTCACAACAAACCCAATGTAATATGTGCTTCATTATAGTGAACATTTCACTATAACAAACTAATTGTATGTCCCCCAAAGAGTTCGTTATAACGAGGCTACAGTGTACTCATATAATAACACAAGGTAGGAAAGCGTTGACACCATGGCATCGAAACTTCCCGAAAATAACACGATTTTCCAAATTATATTTCGATCCGCTTCACAAAACTCAAGCATGATATCGGTTGAAACTATCGATCGACTTACATTACCTTTATTCGAACTAAAACGGGTTAAATCCTGTGAAAATCGAAACACCAGAGCAATATGAATCAACCCGTCTACGCGGATATTTTGAAACAGAGGCTCGTGCATGCGCAGCTCCAAACATGCGCAGTTCCATATACATATACGCGCGTACTGCGCCGTCTCACAATTTGAATATCTAGGCCCAGTACATATTCACAGATGATACCGATGTACCTGTTGATGCCAAGAAATAAAGATGTCTGATACAAATTCATTCGCAGCAACTTGGTAAGCATGTCATCAATAATATCAAACACATTGCATTTGTTCATCAGTGTGTAACGTGCAGATAGACACACATAGAGACACGCATGTATGTCATTCACTGCGTTCTTTTATTCCAAGTTCATACTATGGTTAAGATAACATAAAACAAAAACAAAACAAAACAAAAAAAGAAACCCTGACTAGAACAACTTTAAATTGAGTGAGATACAGTGCTCTCCTCAGCTTCAGGTTGCCATTCACACAGCTCGAGCTCAGAAAATCATGAAATGGTTTTCAAACTTCTAGAGACTGATAAAGATTGAAACTGGGTGAAATTGCAGACAGCAAACGAAAAGTGTTTGCAAACAGAAGTTTACAAGATGGAGTCTGTCATGTCACATGACCTCGGCAAAAGAAGTGTTTTCTCAAAATTACAAAATACATTGAAATAATACATTACATATCCTCTACAGAAATTAATAATAAAAATAAAGAATTTACAATACATCTCAAAGGTAGAAATATGAATATTTAAAGAAAATATAAATAACACTCAAGGATGAACAGCGCCCTCACACACTCAAGAAGGGTAAACAGCACTCTCACACACTTCCCTGCTTGAAGGTTGGTGCCCTCAACAACCAAACAATGAATAGAAATTACAGAACAGAAGTTTTGTAATAATCAAAAAGATTCATGATGACATCATGACCAGTTAACAACTAAACCAACATGAACTGGATCCACAAAGACGCGCTAAGAATACGACGCGCATCAAATAGAACAAATACAGTGGCTCCAAATGCAGGTTGCGTTACGCTGTTGTGAAAGGGTCATTATCATATTAACACTTAAACGTGTTCATTGAACACAAAGAAGAAATTACAAAGTACAAAGTTCAAATAGCAAATAACCCAATACAAATTACATTTGCGTTACATTACTGTGAAAGTTAAACATGGTTTATCCCAGATAACATCTGCATCATCAGCATATTGGACTGGGCCAAATTAGCATGGCTTTGAACCATATTTGCTAACATTTTAGGATCATATTTTATACACACAGAAGTTTCTTCGATGACTGATTTTGGTAAATTATGTGGGTTGGAATGTTGTCCAGCTGTAACACGAGTTGATCTTCGAGGTTCACTTATTACGTTTTCTGAACTAGTCAACTTTTCCGCTGATCTATCATGAGGAGTTTTATTAGCAATGGTTTCTGTTTTAAGGCAAATACTTGGTTGTTCAACCACTTTATCAGGAGGTATTAGAGGCTTTGTAGGTATGCTTGGATTAGACCTTTCATTGTTATCCACATTAACTTCAGCAGAAGGAGGAATAGTACGCAATTCACACCTGGTCTCACTATCAATACGAAAGTCACACTCTTCATCTTCAGAGTCACTGTCAGATATTTTTTCAGACTTAACATCTTCTTCTGTGGCACTGCCAACTTCCATGTCTTTGACAAGACTTCTGGAATCTAGCAGCTCAGTTCGATGTACAGTCTTGCGCGGTAGCCCACCAGTGACAGGTTTCCACTACATAGTATTTCCACCAGTGTCAAGTC